AAAGGGGGATAGTCTACAGATGGACATTTTCAGAAACATTGAACTTTAAATATGAAGATAAAACAGTCAGAATTGACTCTGTTCCAACAGTGAAAAAAATTATGGATCAGCTTTTAAATCCGGAAAAAATATATAAAGGTGAAAAATCTAAAAGAAGATGAAGAGGAGAGTGCATCCTATTCAGAGGACACCTCAAGCAGCAGTTCCAATTCTTCAGAGATGTCAGATTCTGACGGGGGAGCAGCAGCATCCAAGCAACCCTCCAGTTGAAGCAAGAAGAAAAATCCTGAATCAACTCAAAGCGGAGATGACTATGATGCATCCTTTGTCTTAATGATATTGCTTTTTAAATATTATGAGTTATATGCTATGAAAAGTAATAGTTAACCCAGTTAATGCAGTAGGTTTTAATTTTAATGTAACAAGTTACTAAGTTCATTGTCATATGTTTTTCCTTTTTGTTTCTCTCTCTTTATTTCTAATTAGTGTGTCCCTTTTCCTATGAGTTATATGCTATGAAAAGTAATAGTTAACCCAGTTAATGCAGTAGGTTTTAATTTTAATGTAACAAGTTACTAAGTTCATTGTCATATGTTTTTCCTTTTTGTTTCTCTCTCTTTATTTCTAATTAGTGTGTCCCTTTTCCTATGAGTTATATGCTATGAAAAGTAATAGTTAACCCAGTTAATGCAGTAGGTTTTAATTTTAATGTAACAAGTTACTAAGTTCATTGTCATATGTTTTTCCTTTTTGTTTCTCTCTCTTTATTTCTAATTAGTGTGTCCCTTTTCCTTTCCCTTTAGATTGATACTGTAGTGTTTAGAAAATGCAATAAAATAAAATAACATAAACAGGAAGCCAGGAAAATTCAAGATACAGTTTAATATCTTATATAGAGCTTATTAATTGTAAAGAGAACAGAAACCAGTACCACAGAAGATGGGGTGGGGGGAATCCCCCTTTTATATTTGAAACCACAGTGTCAAAGGATACAAAAACTACTGTATTAGGGAGGACCCTAATATTCACATAAGCAAAAAAAACCCCCTTAAACTTATCATAACCCAAATATCAGAAACCAAAGCACTGTTTTGTAAATAAGCAGTAGGCAAAATTGGCACAGATGTTGACTCTTTGTCTCACATTTAAAATTCACAGAGAAAAAATGACTTATACTCCTATGGTATTTGCAAGTTCGCACTAGTATCAGAAAACTTTGTTAAAATATTTGTAGTGGGGTGGCTGGGGCCCATTTTCCACATGAGGTTATCATTCCTGAACCTGAAAAGTTTACAAACTTTGATAAATAAATAAGGCCTAGAGTAATTAAGACCCAACAGCAGAAGGTATTTGAGAAAAACAAAATTGAAACCTGATGCTAAAAGGTTAACAGTTTTTAACAGAAGCGGAGTCATGCAAAAAAAACCACCTGGAAAACAGCTATCTTTTCAAAATACAGGTAAAAAATGTAAATAAGCTCAGTGGAAAGCTCCCAGCTCTGAGACTGATTGTTTAAGAACATTTTGTATCAGGACAGATAACATTTAAACTCCATACTCTAACATAATCAGAGTCCAAATTAGAATTTAGCCCCCCCAAATGTATTTTTTAACAATTAAACCAGATTTAATACATAAATTCTAGGTATTTCTATATATTCCCTTTAATATAAATTTCTCTTCAATGTTCTGGATATTCTATTTCAGCCAGTAATGGAGATAACTGAACTCCTCATTATTAACTCTAAACAGACACAAGAAATCTTAAAACTAAAAATTCCTATCCAATGACCATAGTATATTGAATAAAACATACCCCCTAATATTGGTTAATTTATTAAACATCAAAGCCAAAATGTAAACCCTTCTAAACATATAGGAATCTGGTATGCAGCATCCAAAAATGACTTATAACTATTAATAATAAATAAGCATAATGTATAATATAGACCTACTACAGCCTACTACTAGCAATATACAAAGAAATACATATAAGCTAAACTCAGGATCACCCCAAAATCAAGATTTGGATTTTTTTCATACCCAATTAAAAAAATTATTATTATTCATAGTAACTACTTCTGAACCAATATTGAAGTTTCATAGAGTACAAAAGATAGTTTGACAGAAAGTGTTTTGGTAATTTGAATCAATAACTAATTTTAAATAGATCTACATAGGTTGTGGACTTCCATTGTATCAAATTATTTCCCACAAGAAAAGATTGGGGTTTTCCACTTGAAAATTCTCTCAATATAACTTTGCAGTTGTGGATAGCCAAAAATTACAGCCAACAAACTAGGACTGATTCCGCAAAAGCAGTTTTTCTGCCCTCGGTCTCCCCTTTCCCCCGGTTGTTCTGCTCAATTTCCAACTATTTGCTGAGCAGCCACATTTTGACCCGCATCTCCCACCAATTTCCCCACATCTTCTTGATCCTTATTTTTTAGGATTAAAATAATCATTAAATAATAAATATATGCTATGATTGTAACTCTCCCTCTGCACCTGTGAAGCATCTAACAGCAATTTTGCAACATTATAAGGCCATTAATAAACGCATTGCTTTAGCAAGAAGGAAAACAAGATTGCATGACCATATTAGGCGTTGCTAGGGCCCGTTACTAGGGAAGTGCTAACCTTTGCTTTCTGTAGTCAAAAAATTTAGCACCTGGTGATAACAGGAAACTTTTGGCTTTCCCACAAGCTAGACATGTGATCAGCCAAGGATGTTTGTGGTTTTGAAAAGAACAGGATGCTCAAAGCACACTGCCAATGTTTTCCGATAATCTTTTCTGCTCAGAAATGGCCAAGAAAAATGATTTTTTTCTCTGTACTCTGTAAAACTATATAAGCTTGTGTCCCACCTGCATTCGGGGTACAGCTCTGTTCACAAGTGCCCCTGGGTGCTTTGGCTGTACCTGCACGCATAATAAACAGCTGTTGACTCTCTTGCCTGATTCTCTGGTGGTCTGTCTCAGAATTCCCGCTACATCTGGTCCCTCTTGAAACTATTAAATAACAGAACAGAACCAACAAGAAAAGCGTACTCACCCTTTTCTTCCTAATTCCTATAGAAAAACAAATACCAGTTCACCTCCACTTACCCCAGTCTCGGTGGCACTTCCAAACTGATGGGGAAATTAGGGGTGCAGGAACCTTTTCATGCACCCCCATTCCCACTGTGTTCATTTTGGGGAGGGAGAGAAGCTGGCTTCCCAATTGGGTGGGGGGGAAGAGGGAGAGAGAGAGTTGTTCCACACCAAAACTCAATTCATTCTATTACACACTTTTAAGTCAGTAAACATTTTGAAAACACTTTTGTATTTCAGTATTCAACACAGAATATTTTAACAGAATCCCAATACATAAATAGTGCACTTGTAATTCTATAAAGGATATCCTTGGTTATTCTGCCAAGACCCATAACTGAGGGTGATTGATCAGAACAACAAGGAACAAGACTAAAATCAGACATTAAGTACCCTCTTTCACCCATTGAAGCTAATGTAACTGTCAAGTCTGTGACGGGCATTGGACATACATCTGACATACACAACTAAGTCAGTTCCATTCTTTCTATCTCTGGGGTCAGGAAAGTCAAGGAAAGCTGGGTTAAGCCAGGGTGACTCACAGAATCAAGGAAGCTAGTTTTTGATACTCTTCTATTTAGAATTTGATAGTGACTTCTGCAAATTATAAACATTCCCAGTAGGCAAAAGCCACATGAGGAAATGTGTCCAGTGAAGGCCACACGCAGCACATAGCAGTGGCCTGAAGTTTCCTGGGAGCACAACAGAACCAAAGTTTCAACTATATAGGCTAATTGCTATAGATATTAAAGTAGTGTACCAGAGGTTTTGCAGAGTTTTAGCGGAGGACTGAGACTCAATCCAGCCCTAATTCCACGACAGG